TCATTTGATATCTTAACCATTTCACTATCACCTATGGGCACTATCATCCAACCAACCACTGCATACCTTAGGTTCTTGTTTGACCTTGACAGGGCTTGGTTCAGGAGAAGAGACATCCCTGTTGTACCTCTTAGACCTACGACTGCTGGCCGCCTGACCCTTGGTGGACACTCCATGGGGTCTGTAGTCCTCATCCTTCTTCTTGTCATCATCATCATAGACCAGGTTGTCACGCTTGGATGCCTAGATACAGACAGTATACAGAATATACAGAATATTATACAGAATATATAGACAGAGATATACAGCAGTATATAATATAATACCAAATACAGAGATATAACACAGAATAGATAGAGAAATAATACAGAATATACATATACAGATATTATACAGAATGCCTGCAAGGCTGGTACCTGATGGATTGATTGAATTTTACTCGGTGAATGCTCTAGTGAACTCAACATGTGTCCTGCTTCCATGCTACATGAAAACATGAACAGAGGGGTCCAAAATATCTGTCCACCCAACCCCACCCATACATACCGAGGGGTCCAAAGTGGCTCCAGAGCGGAAGATGTCAAAGGGGTAGAGCATCCTCTCATAATGTCCCCGGAGGATAGAGCCCACCCCTCTTCCATGAGGATAGCCCATGACATTGGACACCTTGGTCCACTTCCTGTCCCTGCTGACTGTCTCAAAGCCCCCCTCATCCTGCACAGTCTTGTGGAGTTTGAACAGGTCCAGAGCCTTCCTCTCTATATTGGGGATACGCAGGTGGGTGCCCTGTAGAAAACAAGACTATTACTATAACACAGTCTGACAGAGCTGAAATAATGTTGAAAAGATTGTAACTAGAAATAAAATCTTCCAAATAATTCTTACTGTTAAGAAATGACTATACTATAAAGAAAACTCACAGCTATACAATAACTAAACACTGTCACTGGAAATCATGCTTTGACAAAATGGTTTCCTCTAAGCAACTTGGTTAACCACTATTTGTAAGTTTTTCTTTATAGATTTATAAGTCATAATACATAATATGGATAAATATTGTAAGGTTACAGCCTTTCTGTGAAAAATATGTTAAAACCAATAAAGGTTATTGCCATTTTTCCTAAAAATATGAAATTTACACCTTAAGATATTGATTTATAAGCCAATGATTCCAAACGTGCCCCAAACTGCGGGTCTGGTATAATTAGATACAATGTCAAGTACCAGTAGTAGGGAACCAGTTTCATCTTATATTTAAAACCACATTGTGTGACAAATGGAATGTACAGATATAAATTTTTAGACAAAATTCACTGAGATTTAACTCCTGCAAACTGTGCATTTAAACTGGTGTTAAATATTCAACAGGCAGTTGCTAGAGGTCTTTTTTCTATCATAAAATCTCTGACTTGCTTCCAGTATTTTGTGTATATAAACTGGTGTTTTATATGTAACAGACAGCTGTTACAGGTTTTTTTCTGTCATATAAACTCTGCCAAGCACAGCTGACACCTCAGCCATTGTGCCACTGGTTGGTCACATCACGTTAAATGTTAAACACATAATATTAATGTCAAAGTGAGGCATCAACAGCTGGCCAACAACCTGGTTATAAAAACATTTAACATCGAAAAAATATATGTAACTATACAATGTTTGTTGCTTGTCAATTTTCTTTTCCATTTTAAGACATTGTATCTAATATTAGCCTTCTGAAAATGCCACATTGTTATTCTGAATAAGTAAACAACTTTTGGTATTATTCAACCCCATCATCTACTTCCACAATGGAACAGAGATAGCTGTAATCATAACTGTTTAATTCTAGCATGCTGAGGAAGCCAACCTGTTCCTTATACACTATATATAAATATGCTACATAATTGTGTTGTAATTATCATAATGCCATGGGATACATTGACATATTTGACACTGACAGTCTTCTGCCAGAAACAATACCTGGATCTTCTAAACTATTTTATTGCCATCTTTTGTTTTTTCAGCTATACTAGTAAAGCATTTCTATCAAACTAAACAATTTGATAGATCAGAAAAACCCACCTGCAGTTCCCAGAACTTTGCCAACTGATCCAAAAAGTTCAGCTTCACTCTGGAGCCAGCCTAAAAATAGAAAAAAAAATCTAAGTTGGCATGTGCGTCAAATAACACAGAAGCACTCTTAATTCAGTGTGGGGGAACTCTTTGACCGAGCTGTGATTAAGAGAAATATTTCTGAAGACTGTCTTTTTGACTCCAAATAAAAAAATTTAAAGTATCAGACAGCTGATGCATCATGTTTAAATCCACACAATCAGCCACAAGTCCATCCTCATTATGAATAACAGCAAACAGAATACATTGGGCAAATACAAATACATTGGGGTCATGTCAATACTCCCCTGCACTGTTACTCCCCCGCACCGTTAATCCCCCTTAGTAATTTTTTGTATTATGTGCATCGATACAACCCAATACCGATAGATCCCCATACAGATACTCCCCCTCAGTATATCTGTAATTGTAGGGGAGTATCGGTGCGGGGATGTTTAGTGTGGGGGAGTATCGGTGAGGGGACGTATTAACATGTAACCATTTTTTCAGAGCTTATAAACATGTCTACAGAATGTAAGAAAAAATTTTATATTTTTAATGCTCTTGCAACAGTATTCCAGGGGTCCTACCATTGGAATTTGTCTTGTAAAGCCATTCCAGGTATTCAATCAATGTGTGGGCTTTTTCTATCCCACATACTGCACAGGCAGGTTGTTACAACTGTAAACAACCAAAACTGGCCCCAAAAATGATGGTACAGAAAACTGTTACCACATCAAGCTGTAAACTTTGCCTACAGACCAGACAGACTGCTATACTTGACTACCCTCATGAATACACTCACTCAGGGCACTAAGCACCATTCTTTATAAATCTGAACACGAATAATTCACAGGTACCAAAAATGTAAGCAGATTTCTGAGGCCACAGTTGATCTTTTTGATATTGAACCCATGGGAAATGGATATTAATGACTTTCTATGGGCAGTGTGCTGTGCAGTAGAAGGTTTGCATAAAGAAAAATCAATACTATCTCCTCTGAATGCAGATGTTGTCTGGGCATCAAGCTGAGGATATTTCTGGATTTTTTTTCTGAAGACACTGATTCATGGTAAAACTTTCTCTCCCCCCCCCCCACCCCATTGCCCCTGGGTTCCTAATACTGTATCTTATTAAGGATGTAATCAGGTTATAATATTAGGTTCTAAAGCTACCTTGCTACACATTTGAGCCTCTGATAATTTTTTTATCTATGGAATAAAATCAAAATTGTACTTCACATTTAATCCTTAAACTTTCTCTTAATACGCTGTTTTCTGAAGTAGTGATATCACAAGCAAATGGGATATCTCAGTGCATGCTGCTGCTGCTCTACTCAAAACTTTGCACATTTTGCAAACTGCAGCCATCTGTTATAACATCTACAGCACAAAGTCAAGACATCCTCATGCACTTTTAATACTAACACTTTTCAGTTACTTACAAATACCATGTCTTTGACATACTTGAAACCTTAACAGCCAAATATCCAAAAATGCTAAATACACTTTTCTTCACCAGTCAAGGGTAAAGAGTCTAGCAGGGTCTAACTTACATCACCCAAACATTAACAGGCCCCTATTTCATCCAAACACCATAATGTTACTAGTAAGCACCTAGTGGTACTGAGCTAAACTAATATCTGAACATGTTTTTAACTAACTACAACACACATGATACCATGCTTGGATAAATTCTGGTCATTCTATCTAAGAGTGAAGTAATTCTAATATCTGTCAGCAGTAGTTTAGAGGGGTTGTTGACAGTGGAATGAATCAGCAGCATGAAAATATACAACTGAAAATTCCCTGTCCACAAATGATGACTGTTAGAAACAGGTTATTACTGACCTTGTATGGTTTCTGTTTTATTATATTGCATTCATGGCAAAAATTAAACCTGTGCTTTAACCCATTTTATCAAGCATATCCAAATAGAAATAAAATATCTAGATAATCTTTTATCTCAGTTATAATTCTGTTTCCCTTCTAAATATAAATATATACCTCATATCATACTTTTGAAAAAGATTGATTTATCTTTAGTAAAAAAAATAATAATAAAATCATTTCAGTTCACCTTTAACCAGTTACCAATTTTATCCAAGCTAAATAAAACATCAATTGTTTACTTTATCCTTGTAAAAAAAGGTCTTACCTCTAATTCGTTAAGTCTTTGAACCCTTGGTACAAATCTGAAATTGTCCACATCTACAGCAAAAGGTGGCTGCCATTCCTGAAATTTGTTGATATGATATTATCAGAACTGTATTTATCATCTCCAGACAAATGGAAAAGAAAATAATAAAAAGCTTCAAGTATTTTCTTGTTTTCTTGATGTTATTTCATAAATAGTCTTGTTCCAGTTAAAATGAGTTCAGCCTAAACTATGCTCAACCTACCGAGCTGAAAATATCTGATTTGAACCAATAAATGGAAAAAAAAGTTCTTATCACTTTCTTCAGTACAGTTACTAGTAAGTTATTTTCAATACTTGAAAACAATATTGACCCCGATTTCAAAGCTGATTCAGTTGAGGTCAAGATTTTAAATATGGTGGAAATTTAACATCTGAAAGACCAAATTTCATTTCTGCACACCTCATATTTCAACTATGATGACCCAAATACAACTTGCTACTAGAAATTGATAAAGGCAGTCATGCTTCATGTAAATCAAGGCCAGCTCAATAATTACCTCAAAGTTTTTGATATGTTTGATTTTTTATTTAACAGTATATAATAATTACACATCAGAAAAAGATGACAGCTTTTTCTTCATGTACAAATTCAATTCTCATTTATTCCAATTAATTAAAGAAAAAAAAAAACAGTTAATATAATGGCTTACTTCTCTTGCAGTTAAAATATTTGGAACCTAACTCTAAAAAAATTATACTTTATTTAGCCATAAATATTTAATTGTAACAAAGTGAACAGAAATGCCAATCAGAACATGTACTTATGATCTTTTCATAATAAAAGTGATGAAAAATGTTAAACATGTACTTTAAAAATTCTAAGGTAATATGTTTATTTTAAAAAATTTAGTTTCCAATACTTGAAAACGAATTTTCAAAACACTAAACAGTTATTTTGCACTAAAAAAATTCTATTAAAATAAAAGGAGAAAATAACCCAAGGCTATGAGTAATATTCCTGTCTACAGAATTGTGTAACCAAATTTTCTTTGAAACAAGGTTTCTAATGTTTTTTAACAAATATAAAGTTATATCCATCGCAAAACACACGCATAACTTATGGGTAAATTAAAACTCACGTATAAACATCGTTGAAAAAATCTGAGCTGATTCTGGGCGTATGCTGAACAAAGGGGTCGCCATGTTTGGCGTCGACCTCATTTGGCTTGCGCTGAGCAAGGTGGCTGCCGTAAAAATGCAGCCATGACACTGTGGTGGTTCGACACGTCGCCACCAACAGAGCATTCAAATCGTCGACTTAAGGAGTCCATGCTAGTTAAACTAGATCGTACTAACATACCTGTGGGGGTTTTATTTTGCATATTCCATATTTTTCGGCTACAGGTCGAATTTTAGCAATGTAAGCCAGCGGATCGGTAAATTCTTCCTCAGTCGGCTCGAAAATCGGTGCGTCTGGTGGTGTTATAAATCCGTTTTGTCTATCGAGCCTATCCATGGCTAGTTCTGTACGTTCTTTATCCGTTCATGTGCGTGTTGCCTCGTGATATCTCTGGCGTTGCGAGTTTTAGGCAATTTTTTTTACGATTTTGGCAGCAATGTTGTCAGAATTCATGGTGCCATTTCACGCCAATTATGCGGAGGGCACCATAAAAACTAACAACAGGAAACACTTAATTTTTCAATAAATGGCTCGTGTATTAATTTTAATGATTGGAAGATATGTAAAATACATAAGAGAAACGTTACAATAGCGTATTCATTATTTGTGTCGTAAATTTTAATATTGTTTATAATCGGCGCATTGATATAAAACGTAGTCCTTCAGCGTTAAAGATGGGAGTAAATAAAAGCGCTAACATGGTTCGATAAATGTGGGATTTAAATTTCAATTATATATTGGCCAAAAAAACAAATATTATGTTAAAGCGACTTATTATCTGAAAAAAGATTGAAATAAATATTGAGCAGGGTGATTGATTCGAATAACTTCAAATTTATTACATAGATTTGTCCAATAATATCTCAGACCTTCATTTGTTGCCAAAAGGCGCTTGTTTCGAAAATGGCAACTTCCGGGAGAAGGTAAACTACTGTAGAGTTTGGAGTAATTTTCATCGTAGACTTACTAAAGAAGACTTTTTATAGTAGTTCATAAGCCTGCAAATTTAGCTTCATTCTAATTAGAATATCTTTTAGACGATATAACCGTCCCCATAGACAAATAGCCCTAGTTATGTATTTTCAGTATTTAAATTGCAGTTTGAAAAAATCATACCTTGGGGGAAAATAGATTATTCTAATGATGGCCAAAGTGTTTTCTGTTCTAATCAGCAGTATGTCAGGGTACGGATATAGTGGAAAAGAGATGTAGGGAAATATTTGTCAATTTAAATTTGTTAAAATACTTTTAAGGCCAAATATTTGAACGCTTGAAGTCTTGAAAACCATTGCATTTATTTGGGTTAAGATGGGGAGGTACAGTAGTAATGGAAATATTTATTAAAATGTAGACAAAATTAACCAGTAATTTGGTTCAGGAAAGGAATAAGCAGTTAAAGGTATTTAATCATTAATTCAACAAATTGCTTGAATCTCCAGTATCTTTATTTCAACATGAGAAATCATTTAATGAATTCGGGGAAAAAAACACTTATATTTTATTATACAACACTTTAATTTTAAAACAACTTTGTATTTTACTTTCAGACAGCCTGTGACACCATTATCAAGGAGGTCCGGCCTGTCTCCTGACTCCTCATTGAGGACCAGTGTGGCAAGTCGGACATCTAACCTTGACAATGTGGACATGAAGGATGAAGAGGAGGACCCACCAATTCCTGATGTCAATGAGAGGCTTAGTTAATAAACAGTTGTTTTTCTTGTCTCTGTGTTGATGAACAAATATACCAGATATTCCACTTCACTTATTTTTCATTGGACAATATGTAATTGATTTGGTCATAGTAAAAAAAAAGGATAGATTGACCATAAATAGAACTTATTTGAAGTAAAGGAATTACTCAGTCTTTTCAATGGGCAAAAAATATCAAAATTTCAGGTACATTATTTTAAAATCACAAAAAATTATTTCTATATAGCATTGTGGTGCTTTTTATGCATAGAATAAAACTATAGATTACCTTGCTTTTTAATTTTGATGCTACCACTTGGTGGAAATGTTCTAATTTAAAGGAATTATGACTTGAAAATACAGTTTTTGTAAAAATTCCCAATGTCCCCCCATTGAAAAGATTGAGCAATTACTGTTGTTGTGTTGGCAGCAATCATTTTTTCTGTGGGATTTAGTTAAGGGAACTTTTTCAAGCACATGTTTAACCTTCATCACACCTATACATCTGAAGTCAGCAACATGTGATGCACTGGTTCTTGTTCTTTTCCTACCAGGCTATGTGAGGCCATCCAGAGAGCTGTTAGAATACTACAGGAAGAAGATAGCAGAATATGATGATGAGCATGAAATGATGAACAGAAAGCTAGACCAATACAGAATGACATATATGGAGCAGGTAAGTACAGAAAGCTAGACCAGTATAGAATGACATATATGGAACAGGTAAGTACAGAAAGCTAGACCAATACAGAATGACATATATGGAACAGGTAAGTAAAAATCTCTGATATGCTTCCTCGCTGACTCCCACACTTCCTCCCTCCTTCACTTCTTCACTTTTGATATAGTGAAGCATATATTGCTGTATGATCAGTGAAGCAAGAAAATATCTTCTACCCAGAAAGGAGTAAATATATATATATATATATATATATATATATATATATGGGTC